TAATTGTACTCTCCATTTTGCTTCGTTCTACTACAAAGTTTAAAGTATTTTTTTATAGTTATAATAACTTTTAATATTTAATAATTATAAGAGAATTTCAATATAATATTCTGAACATCTGCAGTTTTAGTTAGACTAATATTTGCAAGTAAATTTTATCTTAAATTTCAGCTTTCCAACGCCTTTTAAATACGTGTTTTCTCCTACAACATCAGAGTGCAGCGCCACAATAAATACGCACTACAATGACAATAGTTTTAAGCGATTTGAAGCATGTTTTATTTTCAAAATCGAAATATGGTTTTGCGGGGGGGGGGGGGGTGCGCAGAGCTTGGTGACGTCATATTTGAGGGGGGGGGGTCTGACTTTTTATGACGCCGTGTGACGAGGGGGGGAGGGGGGGGGTAAAAAATCGGCCAAAACCGCGTGACGTCATTTATGGACGGTCCCATAGCTGTCAGTGCCCTGCCTTATTACATACCAATTCAGACCGCATTGGTCACCCCGTCCTATAAAGTCCCATCACAAGGGAGAAACACAATCAAATAGACACAAGAAAAATGCCCGTATTCAAACGCTGTATGCCGTATGGACCTGAAAACTCAATTTACCTGCACAATAATACGCGGTAAACCGTATGGGTTAACAGGCGTGTGAATAGTCGCGTATGAATCTGCCAATGTAATATAACTACGATTTTAAAAAATCTATATGGTAACTTAGAACGATTTCAAAGACCTTTCTAAGCTCATTGATCGTTATCAATATGGTTTCCAAGGGTAATCAGCGAGCGGGAACAAATTACGTCACGCGTTTTGAGCATCCGTTGAATTTTGTTTAATTCGCTTGCAGTTAAATTTTTATTTAAAGCTTTCGTGACTGCAGGGATTCATATTCTTGGTTCTTTCGGTAAAGTCACGTAGAAGGGAAATAATAAAATAATAAATTATTTTTCTAAAATATATATAAAATATTTTTATTGTTTAATATTTGTATTATTTTATTATTTCCCTTCTACGTGACTTTATCGCTTGCAGTTATTTTGCCAGTTAGGGATACCTCACAATATGGACAATTGGTTAAAATTTTGATGTCCATTATTCATGCATTTATTTCTCAGGACAATGTCGGGTCAGGCAAGGGAGGTCCACTCGGTTTGAAACTAAATCCAACAAGTGGCACAGGTTGAGAACCAATTGCTCCAGAGAACACCTCTCGACTGAGGGTATTTGGCCTACTCTTCCACGCTGGCCATCACATGCAACCTATAAACTGTGGTGCACCCATTTAGACTGCTGGGTTGGATGGAGGCGGATGGGATGTAGGAATACTGCACCATAATGGGACCTCCTGTCACCCCGAGCTCTCAATACTCCAATAGTGGCATTGTCTTTGTGCTGTACGCCTTTTGGCGTCATCTGGTCTAACACCGTTTTGAGACTAGGCTCAAAAGAAAGCTGTCTCTGGTGTGTGGACCAATTCGTTTCAAGGACAATGCATATATTCATATTCTTGGTTCTTTCGGTAAAGTCACGTAGAAAGGAAATTATAAAATAAAAATGAAACATAAAAATAAAAAATGCATATATTTTCACAGTGTTTTTTTTTGCATTCTGACCACAAGTGCTGTGGTTAATGCAGACATGATTCCTTGTAAAAAGGATTCAGTTTGGTGTTGTAACACCTTAACAAAACTGTTTTGTTGCCAGAAAAACAGGGGAAAACCTATTCTTAATCCTGCACCAGTCACAACTGCCCCCCGCGCCGGGAGATAGAAATGTAACCTGTGACCTCTGGATTGCAAGTCCAGTGTGCTGACCACTAACGCCACGATGGTCAACATCAACTGAGATGTATAAGCCAGGTGAGAAGAACCCATTGAGATGAAAAAAATTCATGTAGAAAGGAATTATACAACTTTTAGAAGCGTCAACCAATAAGACGTTAACCAATGTGTTTTTTTTTTCTCGCAAGATCCGAAGAAAAATATTAAATACAATAAACAAGGGTTTTGCTAAAGAAAAAAACTATTAAGGATGAACACAAATAATGAAGACCAATCAAAAACAAGCTTTATTTTATTCAAAGATAAAATACCACAAACTCTGGCGCTTCGGCAAACATTTAACACAAAATAATTTAAATCGATTGAATTCATTTCGTATCTACATACAGCGCAGAAAATACAACACCCTATTTGAACGCATATTTATAAAAAAAGCACTGCGTTATCCATTGACGTTCACTAGGGGGTGCTGTGATGCAGTCATTCCTGCACTGCGATCTGGGTTTGATTCTCGGCCACGGCAAACATCAGTGGCGAGCGACATGTCGGCACCAAAGATTAAAGATCCCTCGTGTAGCCTTAACAGACTGTAGGAGCAAGTGCTGTTAGCGAGCACCTACGAAGGCTGACACGGCACACGAGGGGGTGGGTGGTCCAGCACCACGCCCGGCCGCCTTTGTCTCCCCAGTGGCGTCGTTTAGGGGCCGTCCATAAATGACGTCACGCGATTTTGGACGATTTTTGACCTCCCCCCCCGTCGTCACACGGTGTCACAAAAAGTCAGACCCCCCTCAAATATGACGTCACAAAGCTCTGCCCCCCCCCCTCCCAAAAAAATAATACATGCTTCAAATCGCTTTAAACTATTGTCATTGTAGTGCGTATTTAACGTGGCGCTGCACTCTGATGTTGGCGGAGAAAACATTTATTAAAAAGTATATTAAATTAAGTAGAACGTGTTGTCTTGGTTTATTTAAAGTTGCGCATTTTGATGTGACGTCACATTTCTCACCCCCCCCCCTCCTTCGTCACACATCGTCACAAATGTCTGACCCCCCCCCCCAGGTGCGTGACGTCATTTATGGACGGCCCCTTACACATCGCACCAGGTACTCATTTGATCCTGAGTCGACCTAGGGGAGGAGGCCCAGAACCGGTTTAAGTAATCGTCACTGGTGTTGGCCGTGAGCGGGAATTGAACGCGGGTCGCCAGGTTCACAGTGCAACGCGCTGATTCTCTACCGCTCCCACAACGCCCACCTTCACATCGTCAACGACAAGCGCCAAATATGCCATCGTCCAGCAGTGGATTAACAAAAGGTGTATATATCTTCTTGGTTCTTTCGGTAAAGTCACGTAGAAGGGAAATAATAAAATAATAAAACGACGCTGTCTTCCCGACAGACCTGTTCTTCACCTGAGGACGGCTGCTTGCGTTGTGGCCGAAACGTCGTGAGAATTATTTTATTATGTTTTATTTTTATTATTTTATTATTTCCATTCTACGTGACTTTACCGAAAGAACCAAGAAGATGAATCCCTGCAGTCACGAACGCTTTAAATCGAAGGTGTATATATATTACACTGGTCAACAAAAAAATAACATTTTTTTCTGGCCTGGACTTTTGCAGCTGTTCTAGACTAATTTCAGGGTGCTGATTCCAAATCTGATCTCAGATTTGCTCTATCACATCTCATTTTTATGCTATCGGCATACCCCATTTTCATTGATTTTACCCGAAATTAACTCTGTCACTTATGATTGCAAGTTGTTGCGAGTCAGTGACTGCTTTTGTGTTAAAATATGGTGCTGTATTTTTAGGATAGTGTGTTTATATCATTTTATGTAGATATCCACATTTATTTAATATGTTTCTTCTGCAGTTTTTAATTGAAAATGCAATATTTGATATCTCAAAAACCTGATGTGATTGACAAAAACTGATGCCAGATTTGGAATCAGCACCAAAAATTACCTTACAACCGTTGGAATACCTTATGCCAGAAAAAGTGTGTTGACCAGTGTTATTGTTATTGCCAGGGCTTAACTTTAGCCTTATCCGTCCAAATCGGCCAAAAAAGTAATTATGTCCCTGGTACACCACGTCCCGTATGTATTGGGGTGCCGTGGTGGCGAGATGTTAACTACCTCGCCTGGTATACAGGAGGTCGTGGGTTCGATCCCGACCCTGATGCCTGTTGTATATTTGGAGTTTGCGTGTCTCTCTCCCCGTGGTTGCGTGGATTTTTCTCCGGGTCTTCTGGTTTTTCCCTTCACATTTAGAAACAAGCGGTTAGAGTATTTGGCTGCGACACATTTCCACATGATACGCAACTGGTTGATCTATCATTTGTGGCCAGGTCGCTTCTGAAAGAGCTATATATACGCCTACTTCAGCAGTTTTCTTGCTGTAGTCGTCTCACCTGATGACGATTGCTTGTGTTGCGATCGAAACGTCGTGATCTATTATTTTTTCTACCTATGTGACTTTACCAGAAGAACCAAATAGTATGGATTTCTGCAGTCACGAAAGCTTCAAATCAAGATATAAATATATAGCTGAGTGGGCCTTACCTGGTAAAATTAAAAAAATTGTTTGTTAATGTATGTATGTTGAACTTCTTTCACACCGTACGTAGCCTACCCTGCTAATCCTCATCCTAGTAGTCCAGTATGCCTCCCGCTAGGAAATGTTGCTAATAGCCACGCGCTTACCTCCAGTCTATTAATGACCCTGAAAATATTCAATCAGACATTACCCCCACGACTCAAAACCACGAGGAACGAGAAGCGAACATAAAAGCTGAAAGGTACAAAAGTTGTGATTGTAAGGACGAGCTACTGGTACAGTATTTGGCCATAACACACCGTGCAACCAAACTCTAACCCGAACACACAATCCTAGCCATGCCACAACTCTAAGTAACTATACATTTCGATTTAAAGCTTTCGTGACTGCAGGGATTCATTTTCTTGGTTCTTTCGGTAAAGTCACGTAGAAGGGAAATAATAAAAATAAAACAATACAATTGTCACGACGTTTCGATTGCAACACAAGCAATCATCATCATGCTGTGGTTTTCACACCTGATGATGATTGCTTGTGTTGCAATCGAAACGTCGTGAGAATTTTATTGTTTTATTTTTATTCTTTTATTATTTCCCTTCTACGTGACTTTACCGAAAGAACCAAGAATATCTAAGTAACTAGTCAGTTCACCACGAGTAATATTACCAACTATATAACCGATCACTGAAAACAGCCCTGCCCCTAACGCTAAACAACTATCCAACCTGACCATCCCACAAACTCTAACCAACTATCCAGTTAGCCGTAACCAACGATAAAACAAAGCACGAGTAATAGCCCAAACCAGCCACTCGTGCAAGCCTTACTCTTAACCCCATCTAACAAGGGAACACAACTACTAGCCCTAACCCTAACCAACGTATCAACTAGCCACTTAACTCTGCTCTACTTCGGCATGCCACCAATTTTCACATCTTGATCAATTTTCAGTTTTAGTTTTCTGTTGACGTTGCTGTTGTTGTTGTTCGCTCTCTGCTGCTACTGCTGCCCACTCGCCACCAGCACGAGAGCCGGGGGGTCTGATTGTGTCGCGTTCCCAGGACCAGCGCCGAGGCAAAGTCCCTCGTCGGCCGGCGGCTGCTCGCGCGGTTCGGGCGCCCAGGGGCTGAGCAGGCGGCTTCGCACAGCGGTGGCGAGTTCCAGCGCATCCTCGTCCCAGTAGTCGGGCAGCAGCAGGAGCAGGAACGCGCTCACGATGACTCCCATGGCCGCGAGGCGGATTGCGCCGAGGGTGGTGTCGCCTCGACGCACGTCAAGCGCTGTGGTGGAGGAGGAGGAGGAAGAGTAGGAGGATGATAATCAGCAGCAGAGGAAGAAGAGGAGGGTGAGCATCGGCAGCAGAAACAATTAACCCGTAAAAACAAAGTTTTTCACTATAAATCCTTTATATGCGTGGCGGCTAGAGTCCTCTCGTCCTCTGGCTTGAGATGGCTGCCACCTATGGGTCAGATGATTGCCTGCCACCATTAAGCAATTGGTATTTAAATGTTTTAAAAAAAATTCCTAAAAAGTGTAAAATTTTGGAAAAAAAGTTTCACGAAAATTAATTGTCACGCACAATGAGTCTGTGTGGAAAATGTCAGCTCGATTGGATCACGGGAAGTGGGTTAATAAACGACATAAAGATTTGCACGGTCGTAAGCGCGCACGCAAGCAAGCAAGTGAACTTAATATAAAATATTTTAAAGAAGAGGAGGAGGATCTGGAATCATCATCAGCAGAGGCGGTAGCAGCAGAGGACAACTTCGTATTTGCAGCAACGGCAGCAGCAATGACAACAATAGAAGACAAACATTCATCATCATCAGCAGCAGCAACAAATGTGTCAAATTCGATAGATTTACCCGCGATTTTTTCTCATTTGGAATATATCGGGTTTTCTGGGCTAAAATAAACATAACAAATTAACACGAAGTCATTCGCCTGCCGTGGAGTGTGGCACTAAAGCAAAGCACCTTCCTGATTATGATAAGCATCATCAGCAGTAGCAAATGCAACATGAACACCACGCAGCAAGCAGCAAGCAGGGTTGTGTGCTGCTTGCCGTATGCTGATGCTTGCTGTCTGCTGCTGCTTGCTGTATGCTGATGCTTGCTGTATGCTGATGCTGTCTGCTGCTGCTTGCTGTATGCTGATGCTTGCTGTATGCTGATGCTGCTTGCTGTATGCTACTTGCTGTATGCTGATGCTTGCTGTCTGCTGCTGCTTGCTGTTTGCTGCTTGCTGTATGCTGATGCTTGCTGTATGCTGATGCTGTCTGCTGCTGCTGCTTGCTGTATGCTGATGCTTGCTGTATGCTGATGCTGCTTGCTGTATGCTACTTGCTGTATGCTGATGCTTGCTGTCTGCTGCTGCTTGCTGTCTGCTGCTTGCTGTATGCTGATGCTTGCTGTATGCTGATGCTGTATGCTGCTGCTTGCTGTATGCTGATGCTGCTTGCTGTATGCTGCTGCTGCTTGCTGTATGCTGATGCTGCTTGCTGTATGCTGATGCTGCTTGCTGTATGCTGCTGCTTGCTGTATGCTGATGCTGCTGCTGCTTGCTGTATGCTGCTGCTGCTTGCTGTATGCTGATGCTGCTTGTTGTATGCTGCTTGCTGTATGCTGCTGCTGCTTGCTGTATGCTGATGCTGCTTGCTGTATGCTGCTTGCTGTATGCTGATGCTGCTTGCTGTATGCTGCTTGCTATATGCTGATGCTGCTTGCTGTATGCTGATGCTGCTGTACCCGCGTTGAGGGGGATTGTGAGGACGACCCCGAGGGAGATGACGCTGGGGTAGGTGAGCGCCACGCCGAAGTTCACGAGCGCCGTGAACACTGCGCGGGGTGGGGGTCAGAGGGCAAGACAAGCGACGATGCAGGGTGAGAAGTCCAGGTTTGTCTTTGTTACATAACTCGGTGAGAACTCCTAGAGAGCACGATATGAGGCTCATTCAACACGTGGCATGGCCGAGATTATGAATCTCCGTTGCAAAATCACCATGAATCCCGTCGGAACGCGGGGGCTAAGCAGGTGTTCAGACTGGTAAGTAAGTGGATGGGCCAACACCACAAGGTTGTTGAAGGCTGCTGCAGGAATATGTGATGGGTGGCAGATGGCAGCGCTGCAATAATTGTTGTTAAGTACTTTCTATGCTATGGCGTCTACCCTTACTGCCCCGCCAGTCCTCAATGGCCAGCGTGAGGCCCTCATCCAGCAGTGGATTGACAAAAGGGCTGTATACTCTTAGTTCTTTCGGTAAAGTCACGTTGGTTAAAAAATGAAATAAAAATTAATAAAAATAAAACAATAAAATCACGACGTTTCGGAGGCAACACAAGTCTCCGTCATCAGGTGGGACCTTCACAAACCTTGATGTAGCAAATCTGGCTGTGACGGTCCCACCTGATGGCGGAGACTTGTGTTGCCTCCGAAACGTCGTGATTTTATTGTTTTTTATATTTATTAATTTTAATTTCATTTTTTACCTACGTGACTTTGCCGAAAGAACTAAGAGTATGAATCCTTGCAGTCATGAAAGCTTCAAATCTAAAAGGGCTGTACGTCATTGGAACCTCATTTGCCAGTAACAAAATATGATAATTGGTGTTTTACCATTTTATCTGGCAACAAAACTGACACCTTTTTTTTACAAGGAGCTCTCATACTCTAATGGTTCATTGTCCTTGAGTTGTGCGCCTTTTGGCGTCATCTGGTCCAACACCATGTGAGACTAGGCTCTAAAGAAAGCTGTCTCGGGTGTGGACCAATCAATTTCACGGACAGTGCATACATTGTCAGAGTTATGTTTTTTGTTTGCATTCAGACTGCAGGTATTGTGGTCAATGCAAACATGACTCCTTGTAAAAAAGGTGTCCGTTTTGTTGCCAGATAAAAGGGTAAAACACCAATTATCAGGGCTGTACGTGTTCATGCTCTAGACCAAGGGTGGGGGATATATTATTTACGGAGCACTGGACAGGACTTTTAAATACATTTGGTAAGAGTCCACACGTCAAACCGAACGTATCTTCAAGAGAGGGTCTTTGCCGTTAATCATCTGGCGATTCACAAGCGAGCCTGCCTATGCTGAAGAGACTCTTTGTTGAGACCAGTCGAGAGCTTGTTTGTAGCTGAATTAATGCTGCTGAATTTATGCATCCCCAGAAGACAATGGGGACCTACGGGGGGTTGTGCAAAATATATTATTTTTAATGTAAAGAGACAGGCATATGAATGAGTCATTGTTTTCTTAACTATTAACACACACACCGTCAAAACCACTACTGTCATTGCATGATTCAAAATACCCCCCCCCCTCTAGTACCTGATTAGTGCAGTTACGAAACTTGCAGTGACATATAAAGAATCTTTTTATAAGGAATCATGTTTACATTAAACACAATACCTGCGGTCAGAATGCAAACAAAAACACACTCTAATAATATATACATTGTCCTTGAAATTGATTGGTCCACACCAGAGACAGCTTTCCTTAGAACCTAGTCTCTCATGGTGTTGGACCAGATGACTCCAAAAGGCCGTGTAGGACCAAGCCACTGGCTGCATACGGCTCACGGACCTGGGGTTGCCACCTGTCCTGGTTTTTACTGCAGCAGCATCATCATCCAGTTGAAGGAGCTGTCTCAGGAAATCTGTAAGTATTCCCAGTACAATAAAAAGCCTGGTTTCTGTCAGTTAGGTAATAATTGTAATAACACTCCACTCGCTACAATGAATTAATCTATACTGCAGTCCTTCCTTCTGCAGCTACTGTGAGCTATTATCCTTAGTCCCATGATATGTATCTGTTTTATTTGTGTTTCTAAGAGGTGGCAACCCAACGAAAATAGCTGCTTCATCATCACCGCCATCAGCGACAGCATACAGCATCTTCTTGGTTCTTTCGATAAAGTCACGTAGAAGGGAAAGAAACCATAATAAAATAATATAATAACATAATAAAATAATATAATAAAGCATACAGCATGTGAATCAGCATCATCATTAGCAGTACTATCAGCAGACAGCAGTAGAAGCAAAAGCACTATAAGATGAATCATCATAATTATCAGCAGCAGCAATCACAGCAGCAGCATCAGCAGGCAGTGAGTGGGTGGTGGGTGGGTGGGGGGTCTTGTGCCCCCCCCTCCCGCCCACATACTCAGGATCAGCGCCGCGGTGGCGCAGAGGTTGCCCCACGCGGAGGCGCCGTGCGGCCACCGCTCGAGGCCCGAGTAGTGCAGCGCGGCGCACGCGGACGAGACGAGCGCGGCGTTCACGAGGCCCAGCGCCGACAGGAAGAGAGCCGCCTCACCCAGACGGGCACTCCCCAGCACCTTCTTAAAGAGCACCTGGGGGAGGGGTGGGGGGAGAAAGGTGGGGGGAGGGGTGGGGGAAGAAAGGTGGGGTAGGGTGGGGGGAGGGGGTGGGGGGAGAAAGGTGGGGGGAGGGGGTGGGGGGAGAAAGGTGGGGCGAGGGTGGAGGAGGAGATGGGATGAGTGGTGGAGGAGGAGGAAACGGGGGAGGAGAATATTTGGGGAAGGAGGATGAAGAATGGGAGAATAAGATGGGGCATGGGAGAAGAGATGAAGAGGTATAGGTGGGGGGGGGGGGGCAAGGAAAAGAGGAATATCAGGATGAGACGGCACGTGGGAGGAGGAAATGGGGTCAGAGGAGGAGGCATTTGGGTAGATGAGACGATTGAGGGTGGAGTGAAGATAGGCGGAGAAGGGATAGGAGGATGGGAGATTGTAGGAGATGATCGGATGAGAGTAGAAGGAGGAATACGTGGAGGGGGGTGGATGGGGAGGGGAGGGCGAAGGGGTGAGCCCACGGCAGGGGGGAGGTAAAGTCGTCCTCAAGCATTGAGGTCACGTGGAGCAGTGGACACCAAACGTGAGGTGTCCACAAGAGGTGAAGAGGGGGGGGGGGGGGGTGAAGCAGAGAGCGCCACGGGGTGAGGAGTTGGACTCGTACGAGGAGATGTTGGCGAGCGTGGTTCGGGGTAGCGTTGGTGCGAGATGATGGTTGGCTCTGATTCTAGATTTGAAGCTTTCGTGACTGCAAGGATTCATACTCTTAGGTTTTTTCGGTAAAGTCACGTAGGTAAAAATAAATAATAAAAATAATAGAAATAATAATATAAATAAAATAATGAATCACGACGTTTCGGAGGCAACACAAGTCTCCGTCATCAGGTGGGACCGTCACAGCCAGATTTACTGTCTCAAGTGAGGCAAAATTCCAAGAGGCAAGCTCTTAAATACAAGTTAAGGGGGACGGGGGGGGGGAGGGGCTTATCTAAGAGTATGATTGGCTCTGGTTCGGGTTAGGTCAGGGGTCGGCAACCAAAATAACAATAACAGCCAATTTTTCAATCGAATTCGGAAAAAGACAACTAAATATTGCCAGAGTCACAATACACGTGTGAATGGCCGCTGGTTGCCAAGCTCTGGGTTAATTGGTGAGCCTGTGTGGTCGAAGGCTCCGAGGCTACGAAGCGACGTGGCTCTTTAAGCGTTGGGGCAATACACGGAGACTTACAGGGCAATGTTAATGGACTGGCCCAGACCGGCATGGATCTGCTCACCAGTGGATGTATGTGTAGTGACATAGAATGGGTCACTACATAAGTATGTCATACTTATTTCGCACCGTACGTAGCCAACCGTACAAATCATAGGTGTGTGGGAAGGACAAGAAAATTAAACACACGTAATTTTTTGTTTACAAAAAATGAGTTTGTCAATTTAGATGATAATTTAAACGTGCGTAGCTCGCGGTGGCTTCCTAATATCGGAAAGCAAGAGCGTTCCAGACGGACTGCGGAAGCGCATCTGAGAGCGCCCGACGGTGGTGGTGGTGTTGGTGGTGGTCACGTGGGAGCACGGCGAGTCGAGGCCCCGGTGAGGGGGGCCCCGGTGAGGGGGGCCCCGCACCTTGTAGAAGGCAGAGGCAGAGGCGGCGCCCACGGCCAAAGCCACGCCGATGATGGAGTCGCCACGGAAGCCGTCCGCGTACGCGGTCATCACGATGCCCGAGATGGCGAGGATCGCCGCCACGATCTGCAACCGCGACCACGATCACAACCACGATCATAGCCACAACCACGATCACAACCACAACCACATCCACGATCATAACCATGATCGCAACCACGCTCATAGCCACAGCGACGATCGCAACCGCGATCATATTCACCACCACGATCACAACCACATCCACGATCACAACCACATCCACGATCACAACCACATCCACGATCACAACCACATCCACGATCACAACCACATCCACGATCACAACCACATCCACGATCACAACCACATCCACGATCACAACCACATCCACGATCACAACCACATCCACGATCACAACCACATCCACGATCACAACCACATCCACGATCACAACCACATCCACGATCACAACCACATCCACGATCACAACCACATCCACGATCACAACCACATCCACGATCACAACCACATCCACGATCACAACCACATCCACGATCACAACCACATCCACGATCACAACCACATCCACGATCACAACCACATCCACGATCACAACCACATCCACGATCACAACCACCACAGCGATCGCACACACAGCAGCAGTGCTTGCAACGACCACAGCCAAGACCCCCCCCCCAACCTCACTTCAGCGGTCTCAGCCCCCCCCCCCACCCCCCTTCATTCCCTATAGCGTTCACCATTTGTGTTGCTGACTATGTCCTGTAACATCACCCCACTGAGTTTGTTTGCTACCCCACCCTCCCCTCCTGTGAAGAAGATCGTGGTTGTGGTCAGGATCGTCCCAATTGTGTCCGCGGTTGTGGCGATGATTGTGGTTGTAAATCACGGTTGCAGTCGTGAGCGCGGTTGTGGTCGTAATCCCGGTGGTGATCGTTGTTGTGATCGCGATTCGTGATCGCGGTTGTCATGAAAATCGTGGTGATGGCCGTGATTGTGATCGCGATTGTAGTCGTGATCGCGGCTGCGATTGTGGGGGTAGCGCGCTGCGCTACGAACCTGCCCACCCGAGTTCGATTCTCGCTCATGGCCAACATCAGTGACGATTGTCTGAACCGGTCCTGGGCCTCCCTTAGGTCGACTCAGCCTCAAATGAGTACCTGGTGAGGTGCGTAAAAAACATCGCCACTGGAGAGACAAAGGCTGCCGAGCGTGGTGCTGGCCACTCACCCACTCTTGTGCCGTTCTGGCCTTCATAGTCGCTTGCTAACAGCACTTGCCCCAACACTCTGCTGAGGCTATACGAATGCGTTTTGTCTTTGTTAGTCATAATCGCGGTGGTGATTGCAGTTGTGGTTGTGTTGGCACAGTCGGGTGCCCATGTGGTGCATCTGCCAGTCATCTCAGCCAGTCAAACCCATGGCACCTGCTGGGTCTGCCCCGTGACCTCCTGCCGGCGGGCGTTCGACACTTCACGTGGCCTTGACGTGAACCTAGCCTGGCACAGGCGCCGCGGCGTCGACACCGCCACTAAAGTGGCGAATGGCCGTTGTTGTTGTTGTCGTCACGGTTGCGACCGCGGTTGCAGTCATTACGATCGCGGATTCGCGACTCGCGATGGAGCCAACTCGGCCGGCCGGGCTGGCCGGACACACGCACGCGCGCACGCACGCGCACGCACACACACCCGCACACACCCGCACACACGCACGCACACACACGCACACACGCACCCGCACGCCCATGAAGCGGTCGTTGAGGACGATCCACGAGAGCAGGAAGACGAACGCCTTGTTGCAGCAGAAGAGCGCCGCGGCGTCCGTGGGCGCGATGCGCGCCAGCGCGAGCAGGTACAGGTACGTGGCGCCCGTCCACAGCAGCGAGAAGGGCAGCACGGTCTGCAGCAGCGGCCTCACGCCCACGCCGCCGTCGCCAAACAGGCGGCCGCACTCCCTGGTGGCGCGCGCGCGGAACGGGAGCGGCGGTCGGTGCCGGTGTTGGAACGCGCGCGGGCTGTGGCCGCCCCCGTGCGCCTCCCCTGTGGCGGACACCGGGAACACTGCGCACCCCTCTTGGGGTGGGCACTGGGAGCCGGGCATTGGGTACCAGGCCAAGGGTGGCACAGTCGGGTTTTTTACAATCGGGTTTAATTGTCTTCTAATATTAAACCCGATCATCTGATATTGGGAGGAATCCGGTTTAATTGGTTCTAATTGCAGAACCGCACTTCTCAACGATGGGCTTCATCCATTCCAAGCTAAGGAACTCACTGGCGTCCACGATTGTGGAGGAGAAGCTCATGTTCATCAAGACTAACCTGCCCGCCGCATTCTACGACTACCCCGTGCCCGACGGCCCCGAGTACGATAGCAGCACCGACGAGGAAGCAGCCTAAGCCTATCAGAGTTTCGTAAACATTAAACCAGGTTTTAATTCCCCGAAATCGGGTTTAATTGTATAAAAAAACCGATGCCTGCCGCTGGAAAAATCGGGGTTTTCCACCCATGCACCAGGCACCGAACGCCCTTGCTACGTGGCGCTGGGCTTGGGATGCGAGGCACTGGGCACCAAGCACCGGGCACTGGGCACCAGGCACTGGGCACCGGGCCCTCTAGACACCAGGCGCTCCTCCTGTGGTGGGCGCTGGGCACCTGGCGCCAAACAAATGTGCAGCAGAATTGTTGAGAACGACGCAAACAGTGACGGCTGTTGGTCTAATATTAACACATTTTGGTCGCCAGCGACGCAGCATCGAGGAGCGGGCGGTGGGGGGGATCACACTTTTTTCTGGTCACCAAAATGTCCAGCTGTGGTCTGTCCCCTGCTAGATGAAGGTACCTCACATCTCCACTGTCATCTCTTTAATTGGTGCTGCATGATTATGATTGATATGTTTAGGACGTGTTATTTTTCACGTTACATTCACATTTCCTCGGTTATTTTGTTCAGATTCGTGTTTTTTGGCTGTTTGCTTTGCACGCTGGACGATTATAATTACTTTGGTGACATCACATGGATGCACTCCGCTGCCCCTGACGCGGTCGTCTGGCTTGACCACCTGAATGTAAAATTTAAGTCGTTGCTCTGCATCAACACCATCAGCTGTACGAAATAAGAATAGTAGTCGTATTGTGTGCACTGCGCAACGCTCCGCCTGCCACGCAAAACAGCCCTCTGTCTCCGTGGCTCTCACCTCTTCATAAACGAGGTCGACTCATTGATTGCTTCCCATGAAAGCGGTGTCGCTCATTTGATCGATCGCTAAGAGATGAGAGAGGCCGCGCCACCTATCCTCCAACACCCCCGACCGGGATTTGAACTGATGCAGGACCACCCCAGAAGCATCAGTTCGAACCACACAGCTCCTCCTAAATCACAGACCCCGGGGAGCGCTGGTGCCTCTGAACCTCGTGTGCTTCCCTGAGTTCGACTCGCAGCCACGGCTAACATCAGTGGCACGTGATGTCCGAACCGGTGTTGGCACACCCCCCTTTCATGAATCCACGGTGACCAGCGTGGTGACGTATGGTCAAACAACCTTCATTCAACCTTCACCCGGGAGAGGACTGGGGTGGCACGCGCCTGTGATCCAGCGCTGTGGGGGCAGCATCGAGGGTTGCTGGGTCACCACCGCACTGATGTTGTGGTGAAACTCCCTTCCCGTAGGGCGTCTTGATTCGCCAGGGTAAGGCAGTACAGCAAGTGGACTAATAGCCATCCGTTTCCATCTCTACGGGGATGGAGCGCTGTCTCCTCTCGCACAAGTCGTGAGTTTCCTCCGGGTGCTCCGGTTTCATCCCACTTTGTACAATAAACACAACTCATCATTAATTGGCTGAACACATCTTAAAATAAATAAATAAATAACCCCCACTGTAGCAGCAGCAGGACCTTGCTGGGAAAAGGACATGTGGCTCAGCGCGACTGGATAAATACGTAATTTATTCTGATTATTAGATATGAATCGTGTTTAGACCATAGGGGGAACGCTGTCGTTGGCGAGTTTCCATTGGGGCCAGCATGATACCACGAGTATGGTAATCGTGAGCTTTAATATAATTTTTTAATTTAAAGCCTATAAAAAAAAATAACAATCCCCTGAATTGTATTGGTGTCTACTATCGTGTTGTATTGTTTGTTGTTGTAAAGTTCTTGTCCCCGCGCCGCTACTGGACATGTGAAAAATTATATTTACATTTCATCGGATTCCTTCAGTATAAATACCAATTTTGATTCTGTCACGTGAACAAAGAATCCGTTTGGATTCTCTCCCGAGTCTGTGGGTCTCCATGCAAGTCATCGGTGACCGGGCTGAGAACGTCAATTCACTACACTCGAAAATTGCCTTCAATCACAACGACGTATATCTTTGCAAGTGTTACAGGGTTCCTTATCTGCGTCCGCGGATCTCCCTGTAAGTCTATGCGAGTCTATGGGTTTCTCTGTATTTGGCTATGGGCTCAAACCCATAGCCCATACGGTCATCCTCGCAGCAGCTTTTGGCTGGCCATCGAACACAGACGGTCACTGCATCGCGCACTTTCAGATGCGCTTCTCCGGCCGTCTGGAACGCTCTTCCTCCCGATATTAGGAAGCCACTGGAGCTATGCACTTTTAAATAATCTCGATTGAAAACTAATTTCTTTTCAAACTGCCTTTTTGTGTTTAGTTTGTTGTCCTTCCCCCGCACGGTTGACTACGTACGGTGCGAAAGAAGTTCAACACACACACAAACCATCTTGAGATCAGGGTTTAATCGCAGTTTGTGGCTGCCACCCGCATTCAAACCAAGCACCTCGGCAGTGCCGGCTCGACGCGCTGACCTCTGAGCCACCCGTCCACGCGTCGATCACAACCGTTGTTTTTTGTTTTACGTAAGTGAACATCTGAAATCAAATCGAAAGAAAGGGGTCGCGTTGCAAAGCGGAAAAACGACTTGGGAAAGAAATCCGATCCAGATTATCCCCGGCCCGCGCTTTACGGATTGCTCCGTGAAAACCAGACGGCGGGGAGAAGGCGGCTTTAAGCACAGCGATGCGACGTTCACTTCAGCCACTTCTCAATGACGAGGGTGGGTCATCCCGCACCGTTAAGCCGTCTGTGGATGAAATGAGAATAATAAATAATTAACTACTCAATTACCCGGGGCTCAAGCTGCCAATTGATTATACTGTTAGGTTCTTTCGGTAAAGTCACGTAGGTGAATAAATAAATATAATTATAATAAATGAAAATAACTAAATAAAATCACGACGTTTCGGAAGCAACATAAGCCTCCGTCATCAGGTGTAACTGCTCCAGTAAAATTCACACGCTACAGTAATTTTACTGGAGCAGTTACGCCTGAAGACGGAGGCTTGTGTTGCTTCCGAAACGTCGTGATTTAATTTAGTTATTTTCATTTATTACAATTGTATTTTATTATTATTATTATTTTACCTACGTGACTTTACCGAATCAACCTAAGAGTATGAATCCTTGCAGCCACGAAAGCTTCAAATCTACAATTAATGCCAATTTATCACTTTAACGGCCGCTTGGGCCGCCGCTTTCAACCGGTGGGTCGCGACGCTTCCAGAAGACGACGCCGAGGCTGCGGCGCGGATACCGTGCGGGAGAAATTTCGATTGTCCGCCGGGAACGCCGGCGTCACTTTGCGGCGACACAAAAAAACGCGCTCGAGCAAGGCCGTGAAGCTAACGAACAAACGCCGTGCTAACGCCGCCTTGTGTGTTTGTCCGCGCGTTGAACTTCTTTTTCGCACCGTACGTAGCCCACAGCGCTCATCGAGGTGTGGACACGTGGATCTCCCCGTCGTGGTGTGGCATTGGTAGGCTTAGTTGTGTGGGCCTCAATTGGGGCGATTGCCGTTCCAGAGACACCCGAGGGCCGCTGGGATAGAGGCATCAGTTGGCCGACAACAAAAATCGATTCTTCCCCACGGTTGTGTGCGCACGGCACGAGGTTATTTGACAGTTAATTTTCATTTTCTTTGGTCTTTCGGTAAAGTCACGTAGATGGTTCAAAGAAAATAACAAAAATCTACGACGTTTCGATCACAACACAAGCGATCGTCATCAGGGGGAAAGAGGAGGAAATCTGCTGAATGCAGACTGTTTTATAGGGTGTAGTCCGAGGGTTGTACTGCGTTAAATCGAACCTGGAAGGGAAATAATAAAATAATAATAAAATATGTTTTATTTTTATAATTTCCCTTCTACGTGACTTTACCGAAAGAACCAAGAATATGAATCCCTGCAGTCACGAAAGCTTTAAATCGAAATCTATTCCCATCTGTGAAGGATCTGATCCCTGACATGCAATACCCCGGTGTCTACAAACTAAGTTGTGTCTGCGGCAGTAGTTACATTGGTGAAACTAAGCGACATGTCTCGGACCGTGTTCGTGAACACAAGGCAGATTTGAAACACGGTAGGACCAATTTCTCAGCCGTGGCTGATCATTGTTTTAATGCAGTGGGCTAACACGAAATTGATTTCTCTAAGACGAAAGTACTTTGCAAACCTACTGGCTATCGACAAAGATTCGTTCATGAAGCCATCCACATATACGGACACAGACACAACTTCAACTGAGAAGATGGGTACAAACTTAGTAATCATTGGAAGGATGTTATCAACCAGTTTAAGTCTTAACTGGCTGTGATGTTCCCATCCTGCCACCTTCCGATGTTGATTTTTTTTCTTCCCGTGGCTTCGGCTCCCCGATTTCACATTAACAGGTTGAATTTCTCGCGTCAACGTGGCCACCTGCGATCTCCCATGAACATGCTCATCTCTCACATTAACATGCTAATTTCTCACATTAACATGCTAATTTCTCACATTAACATGCTAATTTCTCACATTAACATGCTAATCTCTCACATTAACATTATAATATCTCACATTTACATGGTAATCTCTCACATTAACATCACTAGCCCCGCCCACTTCGTTTATGACCCTAGGACTACGCCCTATGCAACAGTCTGCAGTCAGCAGCTTTGCTCCTCTTTCTTCCTGATGACGATCGCTTGTGTTGTGATCGAAACGCCGTCGTGTTTTTTGTTTTTCTTTGAACCTATCTACGTGACTTTACCGAATGACCCATAGAACATGAATTCCTGCAGTCACGACAAGTTAAGTCGAGAGTTAATGGACATTATCAGCAAAGTGATGGTGGCAGGGAATGCGTCTACGGTGCCTCTCCAGATCTCTGGAGCTAAGCAGGTGTGAGCCTGGACAGTTCCAAGTTTGGCGAGCAGCGTGAATACAGCTTGCTGTTGGGGGCTACATGACACGGAGCAGAGGGCAGTGTGAAGCAAACACATCGTTGTGCTGCACTCCATATGCTCTCACGTCCATGCTGGTACCGCACCCGGCACACCACGTCCAATGTACCTCTCGCCATGGCCGTGGCGACCGGTCATCGCGTGCCACTTATTCCAATTCACGAGTGACCCGGCAAATATTCACCGTCGATTATCTACGGGGATCCCGTATCGCATACGCGTCGGAGCCACAATCCACCTCGCACCATCTCTGCGTTCGAAAAATCTGGAACCCCACACCGCCCCCCTCCCGCCTGCCTCCAAAATCTGACGGCTCACCTGAGCGTCTTGAGCGGGCTCCTCGTCCCGTCGGCACCGCACGCCGCGTGGCACAGGCAGTACGCGGGGAACACGGCCACGTTCCACGTGGCTGCGAACCAGGCGGCGAGGAAGGGCGTCGCGGGGGCCGCGGCCACCGTGGGGATCGTAGGGGCCGTGGGCACCGCTTGCCCCGCGGCTCCTCGCGGCGCGGCCACGCGGTTCATCTGCGAGGCGCCCGCCCAGCTGGCGGTCACCGCCGGCAGCAGGAGGAGCCCCCAGGCCAGGCGCCGTAGCACCGACCGCCAGCCCGCGGATCCTTCCGCGGGGTCGGCGCGCGGGACGGCGTTGCCGTTTGAGTCGGTCTCGGGGTCGTTCGTCGCCGCCGCAGCCTCCGCCGCGAGGGGTTCTTTGGGGCACGATTCGAGGTCTGCGCAAACGCCATCCGTTGTGAACGACGCGCGGCGTTCTCGCCGCAACAGCCCGGCGCGCAAAGCCGTTCCACCGGGATTCATTCGGCCACGCCGCATCCGTCTCGCCCGAGTTGTGCCCGACATTACCGTTCTGTACTTGTGCGTGGTGATGGCAGCAGCGGCAGCAGCAGCAATGTGTGCGGAGGCATCGCGCGCTTTCAGATGCGCTTCTGCGGCTATCTGGAACGCTCTTCCTTCCGATATTTGGAAGCCACTGGAGCTATCCACTTTGAAATCATCTCTATTGTAAACTAATTTATTTAGAACTGTTTTTGTGTTTAGTTTGTTGTCCTTCCCCCCGCACCTCCGATTAGCACGGTTGGCTACGTACGGTGCCAAAGAAGTTCAGCACGCATACGATCCCTACTCCGAGCATGCCTATTGTATCCTCCCGGGAATACAGGGTGCTTAAAACAAATTACACTTACATGGGACTATCGTTTTAGATGGAAAAATAACGGATAATACACTATGACATGATACCAAATGTATGTTGATGGCTTCAAAAAGTCAAAGAGCCTACACTTGTTCGCCATCATTGTCAACGCGTGCCTGGAATCTTCTCCAGGGGGGTCTCCAGAGCTCGAAGGCAGCACATTTCCCGTGGTATTGTTGCAAATTCTCAGAAGCGTTAACATGTTTTTGAAGCACCCTGTACATCGCGTGAGAGATGACGCCACCGTCATTGAGGGTTCGGTAACCTGCGGTGAGGATCACGGCCGAGGAGTGGGGACGAACGTGCCAGTCATTCACGGAAAGGTCACGGAAGTTGACCTCTCCACCACGTGTCAGTCACAGAGCGGTGTTCGGCTATTACTTCACCACTGTGGCAAGTTCGGCCTTGGTGGACTGGGAATCACACTCAGTGTTCATAGCACAGTTCGCTAACGTCCGCATTCGTGTATGTTGAAAATAAGAACAGGTTTTACCCTTTCTTGCAATCCTGCCAAAAAGAGGTCCCATGATATAGCTGCTCAACCAGAGCTACAAATGCTCTGACACGTGCATTGTCTGTGTATTGTTCGCCACGTGGCGTTCTCTGTGTCTTACACTGGTGGTGAGACTAGGCGGTGAAGAAGGCTGTCTCTGGTGTAGGCCAATCAGTAAAAAAAAAACAATGCAAATATGATCACAGCATGTTTTGTTTGCGTGTTCACCACAAGTTCGTGTGGTTAATGCAGACTTTGATTGCTTGCAAAAGGAATCTATCTGGTGTTTGCTAGAAAGGGTGAAACCTATTCTTATTTTTCATGTGTTTTACTTTTTTCGCACCGTACGTAGCCAACCGCGCTAATATTACTTTTGCAGTTTGTACCGATTTACGTTTTATTTATTTTTACGTTTTTATTTTTTGGGGTTTTGCTTACCTTTCCGATATTTTGCACTCCGATCGTTGTTTAAACTGTTTGTCGTAACTTTACTCACCCGCCCCTATTGGACATCTGTGAAGAAAGAGCTTCATAGTTCATCGGATTCCTCCGGGATAAATAAAGATTCTGATTCTGTCACGTCAACAGAGAATCCGTTTGGATCTCTCCGAGTCTGTGGGTCTCAATGCAAGTCATCGGTGACCGGGCTGAGACCATCGGCTCACTGATTGTGCCACCACCGCTTCTGTGCAATAAGGCAGTGTTCATGACTGGAGTGATGAGGTTATTGTATTTATTTATGCACCTACCTGGGGGGTGGAGCGGTGGCGCAACGGTTACCGCACTACGCTATGAACCCGGCGACCTGAGTTCGATTCCCGGCTCCGGTCGGTTTTAGATCTCACCTGCCACTGATGAAATCATCGACGTGGCTAAGACATTGAACTCGGAATCGTTTGCTGTACCGCCGCTCTTACAAAAAAAACTTACACAAATTAATGACGTTGTTGTTGATGCTGCTGCTGCTGGTTTGGCAGACGCATGATTAACAACACCTCAACGCACTCGTCAATAACAACAACAACAACACCGCGGCCTTGAAGAGAGAGAAAATATAATCGGCGACGTTTTGTGCAATGTCCCTTGTGTTGGTTAATAAATAAATAAACGCGCGTTGAATGCCCCTGGATGACATCACGAACGAATGCACGAAATCGCTGTAGTAGCAGAATAAGTATTTAGGCATTCAAATAAAATCATTAGTAGACAGAAGCACTTAGAGTAATGAAGGCGCTTAGAGGCAGAGGACCTTGACATGAAATCCATTGCGATACAAGGTGCGTGTGTGCACATGCATATGTGTGTGTGTGTCTCACATATATGCACGCGGCATAGACCACGCGCGGCCGCCTTTGTCTCCCCAATGCTGATGTTTTACACACCGCACCTGGTACTCATTTAAGGCTGAGTCGACCTAAGGGAGGCCCAGGACCGGTTCAAATACTCGCCACTAGCTTCATAACTCATCGGATTTCTCCAGGATGAATACTGATTCTGATTTTTAACTCGGGTCGCAGGGTTCCTGTATGTGGTGTACCTGCTACATCTGGTACATCACACACACCACACCTTGCACCAAACACACACATCCCTAACACATACACACCTGATGCACTCACAACGACACACATGCACCTGACACACACCTGACACACACACACCACACACACACCTGGCACACACACACACACCTGACACACACCTGGCACTACAGACACCACACACCTGACACAAACACACACCTGACACACACACACACACCTGGCACCACACACACCACACACCTGACACACACACACACACCTGACACACACACCTGGCACTACAGACACCACACACCTGACACACACACACACACCTGACACACACACACACACACACCTGATACACACACACCTGACACACACACACACCTGACACACACACACACACACACACACCTGATACACACACACCTGACACACCACACACCTGACACACACACCACACACACACCTGGCACACACACACACACACCTGGCACCACACACACCACACACCTGACACACACACACCTGACACACACACCTGGCACTACAGACACCACACACCTGACACACACACACACACCTGACACACACACACACACACCTGACACACACACACACACCTGACACACACACACACCTGACACACACACACACCTGACACACACACACACACACACCTGACACACACACACACCTGACACACACACACACACACCTGACACACACACACACACACACCTGACACACACACACACACACCTGACACACACACACACACACCTGACACACCACACACACCTGGCGAGCGGGTGAGGCTCAGCACGGGGGTGCGACACGCGCTGAGCGGAGCCACGCGCGCAGACCGCTTCTTCATCCTCCTGCTCCACCGCGAGGCGGGCCGCGATGCCGCTCCACGTCTCCTTCAGCGGATCCCGCACGCGCCGACCACAACGCACAATCCACACACACACACACAAGAGAAAGATCCCCCGTATAGCCTTAATAGACTGTTGGGGCAAGTGCTGTTAGCGAGCACCATACACCAACAATACACACACACACCATGCATACCCCATACGTTAAACACGCATCACGCACACACACACACATCCACACAGAGACACGCATGCTCATACACACGCGACATTTGCTGTCCTTCCCCCGCGCGTACGGTGCGAAAGAAATTCAACATGCATACATCGTATCGGTGGTATCATTACTTTTGCAGTATTATCATCATCATCATCATCGTCACACACAGGCGAACAGGGAAATCCTCTATGTACGTAGTATGTTTGCACCGTGCGTAGCCAAACCAAACACTCACACACACATACACACACAAAGACAAAAAAGATAAAGATCCCCCATATTGCCTGAACAGACTGTAGGGGCAAGTGCCGTTAGCGAGCACCTATGAAGGCCGGAACGGCACACGAGGGGGTGGGTGGCCAGCACCACGCTCGGCCGCCTTTGCCTCCCCAGTGACGATGTTTTTACGCATCGCACCAGGTACTCATTTGAGGCTGAGTCGACCTTGAGGAGGCCTAGGACCGGTTCAGATAATGGTCACTGGGGTTGCCCGTGAGCGGGAATCGAACCCGGGTCGACGGGGTCCGTAGCGCAGCACGCCAACCACTCTATATATAATCAGGTAAGGCCCCACTGAGCAATGTCGCTCTTATTCAGAAGCGACCTGGCCACAGATGATAGCTCAATGAAGTGGCTCATCACGTGGAAATTTATAGCAGCCAAATACTCCCAAACGCACGTTTCTGAACCACTGCGCCACCGCTCCCCACACACAACACACACCGAAGACACAAGCACCCACACGCGCACCCTTGATTTTTCACCGATGCCGCTCGCTGCTGCTTCTGCTGCTGTTGCTGCCCAGGCGACTGTGTCTCATCAATCCACTCAGCTTGGCGCTCAGCGCAGTCGGAGTTCGCCTCCACGACTCTGCCCGGGTCTCCGCTTCTCGCTGCCAACGCGGAGAAGAAAAGATTTGAGGCGGCAGTGAGATTCGAGACGGCCCGGTGGCATCATCCAAACATCGCCCCCCTCTCTCTCCACTCCCTCTCTCTACTCTCCCCCCACTCTCTCATTCAATCTCTCTCCACGCTTTCTCTCTCTCTCTATTTCTTCCTTTTCGCTGTCGTTCATGGTCCCCTGCGCACTCTCTCTCTCCTCCTGATCTCTACTCTTCTTCCACTCTTCTACCGACTCTCTCTCTCTTCCACATTATCTCTCTCCGCTCCACTCTATCATATCGTTCACTCGTTCTCTCTCTCCGCTCCACTCTATCATATCGTTCACTCGTTCTCTCTCTCATTTGCTCTAATTAACTCTCCTCGATGTCTCGAGACTACACCTGTTCAATACTCACTTCCACTATCTCTCATCCCTCAATTCGCTCTCTCTGCTCTCCACTCTCAACCACTCTCCCATCCCATTCACTCGTCCACACGCACACACCATCTCCATCCACTCTCTCATGTCTATATATCGACCCTCTCTCATTCATTCACTCTCTTACTCACCTCTTCCGCCCGCTATACCCTATCTCTCCCCCACTCCCGCACACACTCTCTCTCTCTCTGCTCCACTTTCATTCTCTCATTATCTCTCTCGGCACACTCCCGAATTCTCCTCTCCCCCCCCCCAACTCTCTACCACGCTCATTATCTCTCTACTCTCTCATACCCCCACCTCCCCCCGACTCCTTCTCCCGCCCCTCTCATTCTCACTGCCCCGTCTCGCTGCTGTTCCCATTCATCCGAGCGCCGCGCGTTCAACATCAGAGGCCCCGTGTCGTCGATCCCACCTGCCCAGGGGATTCACGCGTTCAGTCACCACCTGCGGGGAGGGGGGTGGGGGGAGAGGTTGATGCGAGGGGAGGGGGTGGGGGGATGACGCAGGTAAGTGGGAGAGGCCTGGGCGGTTGAGGGAGGAAGAGAGTTGGTGGACAGAGATGGGGGGGAGAGGAGGGAGCTATGGGAGGGAGGGAGGGTAATCGTCACCTGCAGGGAGGGAGGTAGGAGAGAGGAGGATGAAGGCATCATCTGGAGGGAGAGAGAGACGAGGAACAAGGAGTGAATTTGTCTTTATCCTGGAAAAATCCGCAAGCGCGCGAACAACACGAAGCCCCAAACGGAACCCGTGGACATCCAGCCGTGCGGCTCTTCGCGTTTAGCACGGTAGGCTACGTGCGGTGCGAAAGAAGTTCAGCATACCAGTGCAGTGCATACATCACGAGACGAGACGCGAAGTCTACGCGTGCACGGCGCGGCGTTGTAGCGGCGTTAATTGATACCTGGCGCCCACGTGAGTTCAGCAGCTGGTGGGCACGACTCGGTTCCAGCCCCAATGGGAAACAAAAACAATCGCGTGCAGCTCTCGCACACCTAGCGAGACAATCCCACTCGCCCGCCCACCGCTCAAAGCCATCAATTCCCCTATCGGATGAGTTGTTGTTGTTATGTTGACACTTTTTCTTGTTCACGCGTTTCGTCTTTTGTTTTGACTTCCCACAATTTCATTCCGACCGCGCTATCGGCGTCACGCCGATTAGCAACGGTCGGCTACGTACGGCGCGAAAGAAGTTTATCATACATCGGAGCCATCACCCCTCCCCCCGCCCCCTTTGTAACGTCGGTTGTACCCCGAAACCCAGCACCAAATGCGTGTGCTGAAAATTAAATATGAACCCCGCGATGGGCCGTAACGGGTCCGTGAGTTGTTTTGTTGGAATGAAATTACGCAAAACAAAACCACGTAATTCGACGACCAATCCATTCCGAACTCTCCCATTGCAGTGGAACACACAAGTGGGGGTCCGGGTCCGTGTTAGAAGAATAGCCCACGGAACGCAGATACCACAAAACCACTTCTGAGATTCATTCAAAGTGAGTAGAAGGTAGCGCTTTGCCCACACGCTCTGGCACATACTTCGTTTCACGGCAGTTAAATCGATATTGTTTAATTCTAAGAGCCGGAAATCAACCAACAAGGATCTCATGATAATTGTCACTGGTGCTGGCTGTGAGCGGAAATCGATCCCGGGTCGGAGCGCAGCGCGCTAATGGCCACACGATCATACAAACACACACAATTACAAAGACAAAGACCGCCCGTATAGCCTTGACGAGGGGGTGGGTGGCCAGCACCACGCCCGGCCGCCTTTGTCTCCCGAGTGACGATGTTGACACACCGCACCAGGTACTAATTTGAGGCTGAGTTGACCTAGGGGAGGCCCAGGTCCGGTTCAAATAATCGTCACTGATGTTGGCGGTGAGCGGGAATCGAACTCGGGTGGCCGGTTCGTAGCGCAGCGCAGCGCTAACCGTCAACCCACCGCTCCCCACAACATACACATCCATGCACGCACACACACACGTCGAGATAAACACACACACACAATGCAATACGCGCGTTACTCGCATTAATAATTGAAGGCGTGTAACAATGCGTCGCCTCGTCCTGCATTACGCGCGATTAACGTTAAAGGATTTTAACGTCCGATGATGAAGGGGGCCACGCGTTGGTGTCAAGACAGCACGTGGGCCTCTCGGCTCCACTGTCGCATGGGTCACGTGGCATGGGCCTTTTAAACTGCACTGGGAATCTCGCCACTGTGATCATCATCATCAAAATCACAATCAGCCATGGTCAATCCACTGCTGGATGGAGGACTCCCTCTTGGCTCCACTACCCCGTGGGTCACGTGGAATGGGATGGGTCTTTTCAACCGCAGTAGGCATCTCGCCACCGTCATCACCACCACCATCATCATAATCACACATCAGCCATGGCCAATGCACTGCTAGATGGAGGACTCCCTCTTGGCTCCACTACCGCGTGGGTCACGTGGAATGGGATGGGTCTTTTCAACTGCAGTGAGCATCTCGCCACCGTCATCACCACCACCATCATCATAATCACACATCAGCCATAGCCAATCCACCGCTGGGTCAAGGCCTCCCAAAACCCACCACCCACCCTAACGAAGCCCTGTGAATTCGTGGTATCCCCCGTGCCCCCCCGGGGCCCGTGCGAGCAGCCGCATCGCGCCGCCGAGACCTCCTCTCACGCTCATTGTGCCGAGCGGCATCGAAGGGCTCTGCCGTGCAAACGATGCGACCTTGATCGGGGAATAACCGCCCGTGGCCTGCGGCAGCGTTTGTTTAAAGCTGAAAAAAAAACTTGATCCGTTTTCCATCTCTCCGAGGCTCGCCAGCGTGGTTGAGGCCACGCGCAAGACACGCGGCTTCACGCCGATTATTCTATTTCTCTTTCTTCTACTTCTTTCGTACAGCTGATGTGGATGGCAGAGCAGCAGCTGCGATTTCACATTCGGGTGATCGAGCCAGAAAGCCGCGGCAGGAGCTGCGGAGTGTTTCATCGTTGTGACGTCTCCTTCACGCAGCGACACGCTATTGTGTTGTATTCTTTTGGTGGTGTCACATCAGAACGTTGGATGCCTGTTTCCATTCATGCATTGATGTCCTTGCTTTTTTATTGTTACCCACAACTCTCCCCGAATACGGCGCATACTAAATTAGGCAAATCTAGCCTCCGGGGTGGAGCGGTGGCGCAGTGGTGATCGCACTGGGGCTATGAACCCAGGGTACGGAAAAGGTGCAGTTGGTGATGGCTTCCCCCACATCCTACTGATCATCAGCCATTATCAATCCACTGCTGGATGAAGGCCTCCGTAAGCCGCCACCACCTCTCACGATCTTTCGATGCGCGAACAATCCATGTCGCACCTGCATATGGAATGATTTCATTGCTCCATCTCCCCGGCGGACGTGCTCTCCAACGTGTTCCACTCCTTGGCTGCCATTCCGTTATTATCCTTGACCATCGGCCATCATCATCATTTCTAGCCGTGACGTGTCCTGTCCCAAGCGCAT